CTTCACGAACGAGGCGGGAAAAAACGGAGGATAAGAAAGACGTCGTCGAGGTCGGGGAAACGGTGAGACGGAAGGCTCACACAGAATCGAAAGAAATCCTTCTTGCGCCTCTCTCGAAAAAAGAAAAAGAACAGGGTGGTAGCGGGTCCACGAATCGTACACGAAGGGGGATGTAGTTCCGCCGGTTGGACGTATCGCAGAGGTGGGGAGAGGGCAAAGGGGCGATACCCATTCTCATTTCTCCGCAGGGGTGAATGGATGTTGCGCGACACGTACCGCAGAGGAGACACGAATACCAATGCTCGTGTACTTCCGGTATTCGCCGGATAGCGGGTTGCATCGGTTGCATCGCCGCCGCCAGCACCGTCATCACCACCACTACCAGGATTGCTGCTGCTGCTGCCGCCGCCGCCACCAACATCATCGCGAACGTACGAGGATACACACGACTGTTTACGCCGACGACGTAGCTGCGCTACGTACGTAGATTTACGCCGGTTTTATTGCCGCCGCTACGGCATACTTCGTTTTACGAATGCGGCCCCGCGGTCGCCGCGCTCGGATTTTCGCCGCGCGATGGAATTTCGTTATTTCCGCCGTGGCTCCGAAAACAGGTAGCGTCGTCGTAGCTTGCTCGTCGAAACAACGCAGGCAGCCGCGTGCCACCCCGCGAACGAAGGTCGGGACAGAACGGAGGTATGCGAGGTTCGTACACGGAGCCGCGAAGCGTAAAGGTCTCGCGGTCGTTCCGCGGTCCCGACGCAAATAACCTTTTAAAGGTCATCCCGCGACTCCAGCTGTCTTGCGATCCTTTTTTCTCATAAGACGTTTTAAGCAGTGGATTCGCTTCAAACTATGCTCGAATTTCTGTACGACTAGAGCTCATGTTAATGGTCGTTACTTGAAACTGGTCTCTCGAAAAAGACATACTTTTATTTCAATTTAGAATTAAATGTGATTTTTTCAGTGAAATCGTGTTTGCAAATATAAAGTCACGTGATTTAACTGAAAAATTCAGATCTGAGTATCTTACGCGACAATGAATGAAGGGAGAAAGCATTTTTTTTTTAAGTGGATCAATGATGTTTCGCAATTCTTGAAGTAGTTATCTGAAAAAGCATATCATTTCCCGATAATGTCTTGCTGCATCTTTACAGAAAAGCTTTGATTTTAATTTTATATAGAAAAGCCTTTCTGTATACTGTACAGTACAGTATACTGATTTGCAAAGTATATAACTACGACTTTAGCAATTTTTCTTCGAAAATTAAAGTATAATTTGTCATTTCATGAAACTTTATCACATGAGGTGTGAGAATCAGTCATAGGCCCTGTAGGCCTATGACCAGGCATTTTGAAAACTTCAGGGGCGTTGCGGAGACTATAAATATAATCTGAAAATATTCTGAAAAAAATCACGTGAACTTATCTTATAATCCTCCATCTTTTCCGCACGGAGAAAACGATATGATTACCAAATGCATAATTATGATTGCCACACCCACAATAAATAGTAATATTTGGGGCAGCTATGTCTATAGTTGTAACACCCATATTGACATGGTCGTGCTGTAGTTGAAATCACTACACTGTCTCTGCATTATCGACATTTTTCGAGTTCGTCATCGACTCCAGCATCCCCTTAAAGCCCGTGTTACACTACGGATTGGAGATAGAGGATTGCGAATTAAAGATTGGAACTTGACCAATTGGAGCCAAGCAGGCCAAGACCAAAGTGCATTGATTCGTCGAAATCTAATCTTCAATCCGCAATCCTCAATTTCCAATCCGTAGTGTGACACGGATGGCGTATTGCGTCCAAGCACCCGGGGGCTGCCAAAAAATTGGTGTCGACCCCGGGGCTTATTTGTATTATTTGGACCGGATGAGGAGGAGCAACGGTGGAGACGGGCATACATGGACAGCAGGTCTTAAAGGATAGCAACCTTTGACTTTGAGAGACTGACAGCTGTACCATTTGGTACAGTAACATTGTTTCTCTCTGTAGTCCCCGTGCGCTCGGGATCGCGCCAGAGATGTCGCTTCCGAACGGCATCTCTGAGCGTTATCTAGGAAGAGGAGAGTGTCGTCAGCGTGGAGCGTCAGGTAGCTCAGTGGTTTAGTCGTCCGGCAAGGACCCGGGTTCGAGTCCCGGCCTAGCAGGACCCGCGCTCTCGATATTTTTCTCTTTCTGAAACGAAAAAGATACGCAGATCTCGAACGCACGGCGTCCCGCCGCCACCTAGTAGCCCTCCTCCTTCTATGGTCACCACACGGCTTAAGGGGAGTCGATGACGAACTGGAACAATGTCGATAATGCAGAGACGATCGTCACTAACATAATCACGCTATCCTTTTTGTATTTCTTATATATACAGAACTTACACGAATGGGTGTTGCTTTGTTTTACCATGTTCAACGGAGAACCTAACCATACATGTGCAGAAATCTTTCTGCAAACTTTTTCGATATTCTTAAGCTACCAAATGCAAATGCAAAGATAGAGCAATATTCTTCAAAATTTGTCTGCTTGGAACATCCACACTTGCGGTATGTACAAGCTGCGGAATTTTTGAATTAGGTAAATATTACGCTAACTAACAGCTTGAGATTTTACATTACAAATTTTTTGTTTGTTTTCGTCACATATCGAGCAATGCTCCTATTTATTTTTGCACGTACTTTCATTGCATAAAAGCATTTATAATTCTGTGTAAAACCAATACGACATAAACTTTGCAGAAAAATGTCAGTATTCTGTCGGTAAAGTTTTCTGCTTCAGCATCCCCTTACAGACACAAAACAATATAGATGCCCCAACACTTCGTACGTAACATTGTAATTTTAGTTATCTCAACCTCAGCCGTTTTCTCAGTGCGCCAATTCCATTCTGAAACTTTTCCATTTTTTGATACGCCCTAATATATATTCATATTTGCACGCGTGTCCTAACTACAATGTCTAATAAATCTTACAACCACAATAATGAGCATAAAAACGCCAGTCTTGTGTTTTAAGATGGCATTAATAAAAAAATGGAGAAAACAAAATTTGCTTATTTTTTCTCGTGAAAAAACTTTACACCATTTCGAGCGTTAACGATTCTGCATATGATCGTTATATTGATTTTCTTAATGGATAAATCACTGTTTCACGGGTCAAGGTGGAGAATATAGACAAAATTTTAGTAACGCTTCTATTGCCTCCTATTTCGGCATCGTATCTATATATTTTTGTATCATAATTAGTTTTGAAAAAAATCTCGATAATTCGGTCACATTAAATGCAACAGTGATATGTGCATTCACTGATATATTATACCGTCACATTTAATGTAGCTGAATTGCTGATTCTCCTCAAAACCAACAGTTATGATACAAAAATATGTAGATACAATACGCCCGTGCCAAAATATCTTAACCAGAAATGGGGAGCATTATTGGAATCATGTGTAGCTCTATGTAGAATGGATCGATATATCGACGGAATCATTACTCTGCTACAATAAAAAATTTGAAGAGAAGCCAAAGTGAATGTGTATAACTATATATACAGGGCCTTAAAGGATTAATGTAGGTCTAAGAGATCGATACCCGAACATCCTACCCCCTTCGTTTCTATCTGCTGGAGGTGAGGTGATTACCCATGGTATATCAGCGGCAAACTCGTCGCGATCCCGTCTGACGAAATTTCCAAGTTTGATATTATCGTTCCAAGAAACTCGCGATTCTCCGTGACGCGCGCGAAAATAGCGGGCGCGGCCGAAAAGTGCATTAGTGGGCGCAATTTGCGTCTCGCGGCGATATGCAAACGTTCGATTACACGGCGGGAGATGTATCAAGTTTAAATTGAATAATGCCCGTTCTGCAAAATGAGCCTCCATCGTCCGATAACGCCGCCAATGATAATATGTAATTCAATTAATGCCCCGGATGCGCGAGGGTGCGCTCATTCCAGTTTGCTACTCTCAAACTACCATCTCTATCTCTTTCTCTCTCTCTCTCTCTCTCCTCCCCCCACCCTCTCTATCTATCTGCCTCCCTTGTTATATCCCTCTCGACTCACACCATCGACCGCACTAACACGCGCGCTTAATCGTATAGAACTTTACGACCGCAGTGCTACATACGCGCATTTTTCCATGACACGGCTTGCCGCGTCGTCGAGTTGGCGAACGTGTATATGTAATTCGAAACGCATCGGCTGACGAAACGCGGAAATATATACCTGTATATGTATATATGTACGCGGGACTTCCCCGCTTTTACCGTTAATATCCCGAAATATACATCTTTTAGTGTAATTTATGCCGCCTATTTACAGAGGAGCATAGAAACGACGTAATGGCCGGCAGCTGCTGTTCCATTATTGCCATTTATTCCACGCTAATTCCATTAATTCCATTAATACCTCCGAAAGATATTAATTTTCGATGAAATACCTTTTACTCTCTTGACGTTGTGATAAACTGGTAGCGTGGTAAAATCAAACGCGAAACCGGAAGCCGCGCATATATAATCATTATTGGGTCCGCGCACACACATACACACACACGCACAACATTCGAGCAACATATATATTCTTTCCGTCAGCCGCATGATACTTTTTCATCGGGAAAATCAGCAGTAACGGAAGATTGCCGCAGGGTTGCTTTATAATTCCAACTGTTCCACGATTTCGCTGCAAACTGATTCGTTTTGCAAATAAAGATCGTGAGCTTATCGTGTGTGTATGTGTGTGTGTGCAAGCTGCGCGTCTATCTTCCCGGATACGAGTATTTTCAAGCATTAGCGGTAGGAGTAACCGGTTCATTTACCGTCGATCCCCGAACCGAGCATAAATTTTCGCATTGTACTGTTTTACGTTATCTCGCCCACCAGCTAAATTGCACGCCCGTTTCTACGCCGCCACGGTAACGTATTCGTCACGTGAATGGCACTATGCAAAGAAAGAAATAAAAAAAAAAGAAGTATCAAGCATATCTTAGAAATATCGCGTACCTGGGTGTTCCTCGTATATCCGTATCCCATAAACCTCTCATCGTGCGACGGCACGATATCCTTCGCCACGTAAAACGGCTCGTAAAGGAATTCGAAATTCGTCACGTCGTGACTAACGTAGACCTTGCCGGTCTTCACATTTTCGTGATATTTATGGCTCGGTAACGCGTCCTGCAGCCATCTGTAAAATGAAAAGTTCTCAAGTGGCCGCGTCGCACCGTCCGAACAATATTTTACACGGCTGATCAACAATTCGCGCTTCGTATACGCAAAGTCGTGCGAACGAGTACAAATTACGTCGAATGACCACTGAATAACGGCAAAATTATCAAACAGCTATTATTAAAGTCAGGTAAATAATGTAGCTCGTTATAGGAAAACCATTATGAGCTCGCATCGTCGCGGTATTCCAATCAATAATTTTAATTAAACGTGTATACGCTGCGGCGATTATGTATTTCATTATATAAGTACTTTATTAATATCAATGAATTTCGTTTTACCTAAAGCGCGTGAATGTTGTTGCGGAAAAAAATGCGAACGATCAATATCCGATAAGAGTACTTGCCTCGTGAAATTCGTAGCGAACTGATTATGTATGAAGACTTTTTGGTGGAAGGGCCTGGCCAAGCCCTTCCTGGCCAGCCTGACTAGCTCGGTCTTGTTCTGGGGGAATCGCACTCGCGCGTCCAACTCGTATGTGGGTATAACGTAGGCGCACTTATCACAGTTGTCGCTCCTGAGGAAGTCGTCGAGCGCGACCGTGAGATTGAAGCTCGGCACGATGTCGACATCCGTCAAGAAAACGTACTCCGTCTGGCAATTCTTGCGTGCCAAATTCCGCATGTGATTTTGCGGATAAACGTTCCGTATCCTCCAATTGGTTTGCTCGCTGGATATGCGGCCCGCGAATTCGTTCAAAGTGGCCTCCGGCTTGGCACAATCGACGATCTCCGGCAGTTCAAATACGCGCGGCTGTTGCTTGGGCGGTTTCGTTTTCGGCACGGCTAAAGAGAAGACCACTCTCTCGCGGATGGCCTCGTAGCATCGCCTCAGATACACTAAGTACCGCTGAAGCACCTCAAACTCCTCGTCACCGGCGGCGTACAGCGCCACCGACATCGGCCCGGTCCAGTGTAGGGCGACCTGCACCAGCGAATGCAGCTTCTCCACCGAACTCTGAGTCGCCAGGCAGACCCGGTAGGTCTGCGACAGCTCGACGAATCTGTTGCCGACCAGCACCGAGTCGAAGGTCCGAAATATCCGTCGCGCGTCCCATCTGCCAAGCTTAATGTCCAGCTTGAGACCGCTCGCGTCAGGTGACGTCGGTTGGTAATCCTGCGTGATGCACTCCGGCTGTTGCTCCTTGACGAGGGTGCCGAGATTCCACTCGGTTACGGCGCTCATCTCCATCTCCCGCGGTATCGGGTCCGGCACGCAGGTCTCCGACTGCAGCAGCAGGAACGTCAGCAGCATGTTCGACAGCGCCAGGATGATCACGCTCGTCAGACTGAGATTCCATGGTCGGCATCCCAGCTGGAAGCGAGAACGAACACACGGATTACTTAATAGCGGTTATCGCTTGCTCGCACGATGCTGTGTGACTTTGGGGGCTTTGAAAGCATTCTGAGAGACGCCGGAGGTACGTGAAGGTAACTTCCGATCGACGAGCAAACGCGATGATCGAATTGGCACGATGATGTAGGTCGTACCTTCCGTATTATTGAGAGCGAAAGAGCTAATTAATACATTCCCAGACAGCACAATGCAAATAAAATTGGGTCATAAGACACCTTTAAAACGTCTTTAAGACATCTTTCAGACAAGTTTATAAGATATTGTCTAAAAGATGTCTTAAAGACATCCTGAAGACGTCTTATGACTCGATTTTGGACATTTGTGCTGTCTGGGTTGAATCTTACACTGATTTCCATGAATTATTTCAATTATTTCAATGCACAAGTTTAAATCACCAAAGATGCAGCAAATACATTTTTAATCAATTTCAAATCAAGGAGATTCTCAATTAGTCTTGTATATTTGTTTGTATGTTTCTCCTCATAACTCGCGAAAAGGAAGAAATTCGAGGTATTGAGATGAAACTTTTGCAATTTGTTCAGTATGTTATCTATATGGTTTTTAAATTAATCCTCGATTTTCAGGTGACCTGGAAATTAAATAATTCCATTACCTTCTTAGAAATCTGAAAACAGTTAAAGATACAAGAAGAGACTTTTAATCGATTTCAAAAACGAACTTTTAGTAAATAATTACAAAAAGTATAAAATAAAAATCTTTAAAGAAAGGTAAACAGCCTCAAAAAGTCACAGAAACCCTAAAAAGTAAAAATAATTTTAAATCAATATTCCTAATAATCAATGTATCTACAATTCATAGGTGACCACGATGGCAGTCAGTATAGCAACCGGTTGCTGAGCTGACCTAGTTGATCGCGGTAAATCATAAGCTGAATCTATCCGCGCCTACATTGGGAACTTATGAACTCGCTGAAGTGATACCGGCAACGATGGTACGCGTGACGAAGAGGAGGTATGCGATAATAACCGAGCTCCGCGGCGACGCATAAGTTATCGCGACGTCTCGACGTGACCTCCGCCGAATTTATTGGAAATTTTCGTTCCCGTGGGTTACAGGATAGCGCGAGTCGCCGAAAACATGATGAAGAAAATAGGCGTGAGGCGAATATCGCCGTAACGCGCTTTCGCGTTAAGCCGAAACTCGGCTCTCCCTTCGCCGTAGCGCGTTTTATGTTCGCTACTTATTCTTCCAGAACCGCGAGGCACAATGTGTCGCCGGCCAGCGTGAATAATTTCATAGGGATACGTGAGCGGAATAAAGCGGACCGTGGTGAGATGAGGCCGTCGTATAACGACGAATCTCGCATTAGTCTCCGCCAGAGAGCTAACGGCTCGAGAGAAAGAAAGAGAGAGAGAGGAATCTCGCTAAGCAAACGAATCTTTTGAAAAAATAGTTAAAAATGCGTGTAAGGCGCTTTATTTATTTATTTGCAGAGACAGAAGTATATCTCTCCCTGAGAATAAATTTAGTAGCACGCGAAGAACCACGGGGAATAATGTCTCGAACGGGAATATCTTTCAATATTTCAGAGTTAAATACACACAAAGAATATTATAGTTTTTTTCTATATAATTCTTTTAACTTTTACTATATTTTTCGTAATATAGGTATAGACTATGTGTAAAATCTGTTTTGTTAAGGAACGTAGTAAATTTGATTACAAACACAACCAATTTTTTAATAGCATTTTAGTTCTTAAGGTAGCCCTAACTATGTAAGAATGGTCGAATCCATAAAATTATGATTTTTATGTTTTTATAATAGTTATGTTTTACTAATAGATATACCATACGTCTTTCTACATGAAACAAAAATAATCCAAACCTTATAGGCGCCTAAAATTAATTAAAAAACAATTTTTATTCTATATTAGTTGCGCCATTTTATGAGTTAAGCTTATCAATGAATACCCTTAAAGAGAAGAAAATACTTGGCTTCTTGAACGATTGCAAAAAACTTTAGTCTATCTCTCTCTATCTATACTTTTAAAATTCAATTTTTATCTTTATTTTTCTCAAAACATATTTCCCATATAACTTGGATCACAACTATGGCAAAATATAAATAGCACATAAAATAAAGGATAATCAATATAGAATATCGATGTATTTTTGGGTTACAAAATTCTGTAGTAATTTCTATTGTAACATTCTCCCTGTGTAGAATTCAAGAGAAAAATAGAACTTTCTTTAGCGCCGGTTCGGTAACAGCGGTGTTGAAAGTCTGCAAAAATTTTGTTAGCTTTAAATTAAAAAAAAAAATCACATTTGACTATAACGTGAAACTAAAGCAAACGACAAAAAAATACAGTCTGATAAAATGCAGTGGGACGTGCGTTCGTTGTTCTACACCGCCTCGGAACATATCAAAACGTGTAATCGGATTATATCTTTCGCGTGTATTTGCGAGGGAAGTCAAGAAAGCCGGGGGAAACCCGTTTAAACTGGGGATACTTCGCTCTCTTCTATAAATAGGGAGATTATCCCGACGTGTTCCAGGCGAAGAACTTACGATAACACCGCAACGGGTGGCGTTGTTTTTAAACAAACCCGTGGAAGTGGCTCGGTCGCCGGAAAAGCAAACTACCGAGCAACTTACCGACAATAGTCTGTCGTGACTGTCGAGTGCAGAGCAAGGGCCATTTTACCGCCCTAATTACCATGGGTTCGCTACCCGACGGGACCCAATGCAAAAATCAGTGCCGACACTACGGCGAAATGACGACTCGGATGCTCCGAGAACAAGGGAGAGGCAACAACGAGCGCACTAGCAAGAAATTTATTCTCTTTCACTAAAAAATGTAAAATATTTTGCCTGAAATTGGCCGTAGTTATGCAAAAATTATCAAACCCAAAATTATAATTTTTATGTTACCAATGAGCAAGTCCATAATCTGTCTCTCTAATTTATAATAAAACAAAAAAGATCCAAACATTATGGGCGCGTGAAATAAATTAAAAAACAGTTTCTATTTTCTACAAGTTGGGTTTTTATGTTTTACTAGTTGCGTCTTTTTTAATCATTGTTTTAAGCGTTAAGTTTACCAATGAATATTCTTTAAAGAAAAAGAAAATTGGCCGTGCTTCACTTCTCGACCGATTGCGCAGAATCTCAGTGCTATTTATACTTTTTAAATTATATATTAAATTTGTTCATTTTTTCGAAAAGTACTCCATATGAGTCCAATCATTCTTACGTAACTACGACTAATTGTATCTTACGTTCGCGATTGTGTAATTAATATGCAATAATTTGACAATAAAACATACAATTTTTAATGACACAGAATATAACAGTCAACTGAACAGATAGCAACTTTTATCGAGTTGTATAATAAGTTGTATAATTTCGGATTTTTCTAGATAAAATGAAACAATTACATTTTTATGTCGTTATAATATTATTAAATAATATATGTGCGAAGTATGACGGAAGAACATTAGAAATATGCATACATTACTTCATAAAATTATAACGTCATAAAAATACAAACATTTTATTACACTCGACAAACTATATAATAATACTTATTACACGACCCAATATTGAGCGATAATTTATCCAGTTAATTGTGCGATAATTTTCGCAATTTTTTTTCGCCTGTCGATTTTTCAAGTAATAGAAGAGCTTCTTTGTCCAACAGCTCCGTCCCCTGCAATAGAAATCGCAGCGCGGATAAAAAGATACGGGCAACCGAACTCTGTCTTTAAACTCACCCGTGAGAAAACTTCTCCTATTTATTTCCTCGACAGTTTCGCGCGTGTGCGTGCGAACTGAAGTTCTGCGGCTGAAAGGGTGTGTCGGGTTCACCCTCGCCGGAACGGCGAATGCTCTAATACCGGGCCTGCGGCAAAAATCGCGCCGTTAAACCACAACCAACTAACCGACATGGAATCCGCACTAATGCGCCTTGGGGAACAATGTGTTGCTTCGCGGGAGCGTAAACGTCGGTCGTAAGTATCCCGCGCGCAGCAAATTCCGCGCGCCGGACCACCTAACTGTGCACACCCACCGAAAATTATATACACGCCGATAAGAACTTCGCAGAAGCGGCCCACCGCCCCGTGGACGCCCGCCCGGTTTCCATCTGGATGTTCAACCGGCGGAACTAACACCCGGGGTAAAATCTTCGCGCCCGGGGGAGATAAATCATTCCCCGCAACTCTCAACCCCCCCTTCCCACCGACTCGACCACGTCTTCTCCCCCTTCGTCGGCACCCTCCGCCTCACCGATGGGCAAACGTTGGCTATTCCGACGCGTCCTTTCCGGCAAGAAGGTCTCGAGTGGAAATGCATCTTCTTGAGGAGCCTTGACCGACTTGGAAAGAGCGGATATCGAATGCATTAGGGTCACCACGTAGGTGTAGAACGAGTCGCGGCCACGATGCACCGCGTTCTCGCGCGAGTCACGGCGAGTGGTGTGCTGACGGATGTGACGCGTACCGTGCATACCGCGACACATTATACACACCTCCTCTCCGTCACGAAGCGGCTGTAGCCGATGTAAGTGGCAAGTGCAAATATTTGACGACTCGAAGGTGCATCCACTACCGTGGTACGTCAACTCGGCGTCGTGCGAAAATCGAACGGGAACGACGATATTTTCGTGATATTCCGAGTACACGTCGTCTGCGAACGAATGCAGAATTATAAGTAGAAACGAACTCGCGCTTTATCGGTTCTTCCGCAGACACTTTACTCCCCCCGATCGAACACACCCTCTCCAGGTGAATTTCTCTCTCTCTCTCTCTCTCTCTCTCTCTCTCTCTCTCTCTCTCTCTCTCTC